TCGCAAATTGTCTGAAAATGTTCCAAATTGTCTGAGAATGTTCCAAATTGTCTGAAAATGTTCCAAATTGTCTGAAAATGTTGTAGAAGTATCTAAAATGTTGTATTTTTACTGAAAATGTTGTAAATTATCTAAAAATGTTGTAGATTGTCTGAAAATGTTGTAAATTGTCTAAAATCTTGCCAATTGTCTAAAAAGTTGTAGAGTATATGAAATATTGTAAATTATCTAAAAATGTTGTAATTATCTGAAAATGTTGTAATTGTCTAAAGATATTGTAAATTGTCTGAAAATGTTGTAGATTGTCTAAAAATTTGGTAACCTTTCACCAAATGTTTGTACACTATCTGCAAATATTATAAAATATTGATATATGTTGTAGAGATTGTTCTAACGTTGTTAGTATTCTGAAAATGTTGTCGATTGTCTAAAAATGTTGTAGATTGTCCAAAAAAGATGAAAATTATCTGAAATGTCATAAATCAACTAAATTGCTGTAAATTGTTTAAAATTTGATAAAATATCTATAAATGTTGTAGTTTATCTAAAAATTTAGTAAAGATGTCGTTAAATTTTGTACATTGTCTGAAAATGTTGTAAATTGTCTAAAAAATTGTAATTGCCTGAAAATGTTGTAAATCATCTGAAAATCTTATAAATTGTCTTAAAATGTAGTAGATTGTCTACAAATATATATGCAAAAATTTATTTGTATTCTTTAACCTGATGTGAGAGTCTTCGGGTTCAGTTCTTTCCTAGTGTTTGAGTCTCGACCTCTCCAGCGATAAGAGCCACTCATTTCACCTTTTTGGGTTGTGTTGAACCAATTGAACCAAGCCTGTGATGATAATTGTTTATTATTATTAGTTTAGTAATTGTTTTTTATATATCTAAACCCATGTTACCCACAGATCTGATTTATTATATTATTTTCTTTTCATTATATTTGTTTATTATATTTTACATATTTAATATGTATTGTTGTGTTTGTATGTATGTATGTATATGTATTTAATTTTAATATATTCAACACCCACATCTATAAATTTACGTTATTTTTGGCTTTTTGTTTTTATTATATTTTATACTAATAGTAAATTATCTAGTGATATTTTATACTAATATCTAATAAGAATTTTTCTTTTCCATGTATATTTTTAACTCATAATTTTGTATAAACAGATCGCAGAATAAAAACATTATAAAAAATCAAGCCTTGCTATATTAATTAAAATAAAATTATATTTTTCATATATATATTAATAATATAAGAATATTCAATACCTGTAATCGTGGATATAATCTCTCCAATCGTTGCAATCTTGAATCCTCTATTAATTTTTCTGAATAATTTTCCAAAATAGATTTTAAAGTTAAAAAGAATGTTGGAGGATTTGCATTGGTGTTACGTTGTGTTACAAATTCATCAGGGACTTTGCTTAGGGCTTCAGATCCTAGAAAAAAAACAAATTTATTGAAAAAATGTTATTTGGAATTTGAATCAACCTTATCATAGATTATTAATCAATAATAAATTGAATACAATTTTAAGTAAAATCTAAATATGTAGCTATATTATATATCTTCAGACTTTAATAATTAATTATTTATTAAATAATAATCTAATGTGAGATTTAAATATTATTTTAATAACAAAAACATATAGCTATATTATATTATTTTTAGTAATTTAATATTATTCATGAAAATATAATCTATTTTTTTAAGTTTAATTTTTTTTTTTTTCTTAATTTAAATACTATTTTAATAAAAAACAAATTAGTTAATATTATATACCATTACTCTTTAATAAATTATTTAATAAAGAAAAGTCTTAATTGAGATTTTAATATAATTTTACTGAAAAAGACAAAATTATTTATTAAATCTTTATAAAGATATAGATATAGATATAGTCTTTAATAAATTATTTATTAAATCTCATTAATTTAGAAGAGATTTAAAATAATTTTAAAAAGAAAAATCTATGGTTATTGTGTTTTATATATTATATCTTTAACAATATACCTAGAATCTGCTCTCGAGGTATCCATCCTTCAACATTCATTAAATCAAACCAATGTTCCATGATATCCAGAGATATATCTAAATCCCAAGTCGATATTAAAAGATTGTGAAATCCTTCATCCCATAGAAAGCCACGAGGAAAGAAACTCCTTTACAATATATAATAAGTTATATATATAATAAATTATATGTGTATTTCTATTACCTAGAAGGTACTCCAGTATACAACGGAGCTTTCCAATAAGGCACAGGTTCTTTAGTATATTCGCTTTTAACTTTAGATGATCCATAAAAATATCCAACAGAACCTATCATGTTCGCTAAGCTTGCTTGTGCAAATGATATTTGTTTCTCTGAGAAGCTAAAATAAATATAAAAAATAGATTTATAGACTTAATTAAGTTTTAAAACACTATTTAACATTAATTTGAGTTTTAGTTATTATGTTCCAAATTCAATAGTATTTCTATTTACTGAATATATTATTTTTTAAAGAATTAATATTTGCTTACCCTTTCTTTTTAAGTCCAAATAAATCTTCAAACTTGTCCTCAAATTTCTTTCTATGCTCCTCAAGCACTTTTGTATATTCTTCACCTTTTAAATTATTTTCTACTTCATCGGTCTCAAAAACAACATCAAATTCAAATGGGGTCCGAACAGTTATTTGAGTTGCTATAAAATTTGGATCCACCTTAAAATAATAATTGAGAGAGTAAAAGTAAAGCACCATTAATATAACTTATTTGATAATACATATAATTGTTTATAACATACCATTCCTTCAGGTTCTTCTAACAATTCACCAGCCAAAGCAATGAATTTTTTTTGTTTATTATTTCTGTCAGTAACCAGACGTAAACCGGTCATCAGAGTATCTCGCAGAACATGCAAACCAGGAGTAATGGTGCTCAGGTAGGATTCGTGTATTATAGTACCTTAATGTAAAAGAAAATTAAATCATTGAAGAAAAACTGACTAATAAGTGTTAAAAAATAAAATTTGTTATTATGTTAGTAATAATTTATATTTATTTATTTTTAAATATATAGCCCACAGATTTCTTCTAAGAGGACTCAAAAATACAATTACTTTACATAATGAATAGCAATTAAAATATATACAAAATTACAATATATAGTTATTAACATAAAATACTTGACATAAAATTACATATAATGCAGAATGTATCAATAATATTTATATACAGAATGAGATAAAATAATAAGATATTATAAAAGAAAATAAAAAGGTTAACTTGTGCAGATGGAGATTATTTGATTAGGTGAAGTGTTGTGAATATCTATTTCATTATTAATTAAGTTAAAGTTAGAGGACATAAGTAAAATAGTCCAATTTAAGAGAAAATTAAATTTAGGAGTAGGGTAATTGAAAAATAATTGTGAATTAAAGGATAGTTGGTTAAGAATAAGAGGGCAGTCAATAGAATTATTGCAAAGTTTAAATAAGAACATGATTGTACAGATAAATCGACGTGAGGCAAGAGAAGAAATACTTTCATTTCTTTTAGTAAAGTGTTGTGGTCAAAGCCACGTTCAGGGTAAATTTTATATGTTTTATAATAAGATGTTTCAGAAATTTTCGTTGAATCTTCTCTATCGCATCAGAGTTGTTGATTTGATGAGGATACCAAATGATTCAACCATATTCTAATTTTGAACGTACATAAGAATAGTACAGGCAAAGAAGTGCTTTATTTGAATTGAACTGTTTACAATTTCTCAGCATCAAACCTAAAGATTTATGTGCTCTATTACAAATATCAGTTATATGATCTGTGAAAAACAGACCAGAATCAAATAAAACTCCCAAGTCTGATATTTTATTACATCTATCAATGCTGGTGTTAGAAATTTTATAATCAAAATGTATTGGGACTTGCACTTTAATATATTTAAATGTAATTTGTTATTGACACACCAAAAGTGGAAAAAGTCAAGTTAAGACTGTAATAATCTTAGGTATGTTAGGTATGGTTTAGGACAGCTAATAATCTTAGGTATGTCATTAATAAAAATAATAAAAATTAGTGGACCAAGAATGGATCCCTGAGGAACACCTGAACTGATAATTTCAATATTGCCCAAGAATCCAGTAAGATAGACAAACTGTTTATGATTATGAAGATAACTCTTGAAAAATTAAATAAGTGAAGAATTAAGACCAATCTTAGATAATTTAGTAAGATGAATGTTATGATCAATTTTGTCAAAAGCTTTACTGAAGTCAGTGTAAATGACATCAACTTATCCATTAGTGTCAAGATTCTCAGCTATATATTGTTTAATACAGATTAAATTTGTTTTTGTAGAACGGGCAGGCATGAATCCATGTTGATTAGTAGAAATTAAAGATTTAACAGAAGGAATTAGTTCTCTATAAATATTTTTTTCAAATACCTTAGCAAAGTTTGATAATAGTGATATCGGCCTTAATTAGTAATGTTTGATGTATCACCTTGTTAAAAGTTGGTACTAATCGTGCAATTTGCCAACAATTTGGAAAAGTGTTTGTATACAATGATAGATTAAATAAAAATGCAAGTGGATCAGATAGAGCAGATGAGCAATCACATATAAAGAAAGATATTAATATATTAATTGTATATAGAAAAAAATTAATATTATGAAAATAATTCTTCAAATTATTAATTTAAGAAAAACTGACTGATAATTGTAAATGAGTGTAATTTTTTATTATTTCAGTACATAATAGTTTATGTTTTTGATTTATAAAAGTCAGCTCATTGTTGTAATTGTAATCAATTGAATGTGTTAATTAGTTATTTTGAATTTTGGATTAAATATTTACCTGTATGGTTATATAGAGATATTGTAAACTCTCCGAGTCCTTTTGTATAACCCTGCATTCCTGTTATAAGAGATTTTCTTGCTGAGTATGTTTTAATTTCACTTGAACCTTTTGTGTCTCGTTCATCAAGAGCTGTATACCAAATTAAAGACACTTCTTCTTGTGTAGGTCTCTAAAATAAATATAAAAATTATAATTGTATTAAATACTTCCTATTAACTATTTATCACCATTGTAAAATATTTTTAATAACATTTAAAACTAATTTCAAGTATAATGCTAATAATTTTATTGCCTACAAATATTTATTTATATAAATAATAATAAATATTATTTCAGGCTCTTATCAAGCTTATTATTTTATTACCTTGCTATCAACAGATACCCTAGCTGTCCAAACCCCTCCTCGTGTCCCCAAATCAGGCATCTTCACAAAAGAAGTCTTAAATTCAAACTGCCCATCAATGATTTCCTGATACCCAAAATTCCTGCCATCGTGCTGCAACCAGCCGTACCTGGCTAATTCATCACTCTGCTCACACCAATGTCTGACACCATCGCCTCCAGGACGTAACCGTTGTGGAAAATACCACATAAGTCCGGTTACTAAAGATAACGGATCTCTTGTTTTTAAACCGAAGTAGGCACCTGGTCTGTAGCTGCCCCAAAAACGCTGCATGTCTTGACGGTCTGGAGGAGGCACCATCTGGGTAAAGGATAAATAACTAATTATTTATTTGTTTTATTAGATTAATTGTAAAACGTGTTAGGTTATGTAAACTTTTGTATTTATTTAATTGCTGGTTGGGTGTAAAAATAGTCATTTATATGTTACCTTTTGGTCATCAAAAGGAGTATTAACCCTAGTCTCCAAATAACCCATGTAACCAAATCCTAAGGCTACAAGTAAGCAAATGCATCCGACTAAAGTTTTCCATTTCGACATGTCTGTAACTTTATTATTGCTTGCAGCTTTCTTTGTAGCATTTTTTGGTGTATTAGAATTATTTCCATTTCGAGATACCTCTGCTTTTTCCACAACTGGGGGCTTGTTTTTGCGTTGCCTGGTCTGGATAAAACAGATTTATCAAAAACTCATATACATATATATATATATATATATATATGTGTGTGTGTGTGTGTGTGTGTGAAAACGCAATATTAAGTAAATATTTTTTTAAAAGGAGGCTTTTAGTAAAATCAATATTAATATGAGCTATGCAGTAAAACTTAAACTATAAATGTATATATATGGAATAAACTCATAATTTACCATTTTTAGTAATTAATACATAAAGAATATGATTTTATCACAGAATATTTGGTTCATTTAGAATCTGCACAAATTTTGAGGTTAGGGCACTAAAAAGCCGCAAATTTCATTTAGTAACATATACGTTATAAATATTATTTTATCTGTGCGTTTTAAGTTAAAAAATGCACTTATTGCATTTATATTATTTAATATACATATTTATTTCTTTATTTTACAATATTTTAGACATTGATTTGACAGTAGTAGCACTTTGACTTGACAGTCCACGTAAAGAGAAAAATGAGATTTTTTTAACTGTTTGATTTTATCTTATAATAATAAATTATAAAACAAGGAAATAATATAGTAATTATGTTGTAATTTATTTATATAATTGTAATTTCTATACTTTTTAGCATCAGTATGCCGCCAAATTTTATTGTTGAATTTCAACAGAACATCAGAAAAATGGCGCCCAATTCAAATGTCAAAATTAGAAAACATTTCAAGATTATATATTTATGAATTTTAAAATTATAAAGTTAATAATTTAAATATTTTGTATTTATATTTCAATTTTTAAAGTTTTAGCATCATTATGCCGCCAATTTTTACTGTTTAAACTTAGTTGTAAAAGTTGGAACATCAGGAAGTTGGCGCGAGATTCAAATTTGAAGATTAAATTTTAACTTATAGTATTTATTTAACATTTAAACATTATTTAAACATATAATACTTATAAAACATTATAGTATTGATTTAATAAATACTTAATCTCACCGTTAACTTCATAACTTACACACATTAATAGCGTTTTATGAATTCAAACTTTATAATATCAATAAAAATATTTATTATTAAATATTAATTACTGTATATACTATTCTATTAATATCAGCACAAATTAACTATTAAATTAATATGTCATTTCCAATTTCAAATCCCAACGTTTTTCTATGGTTTTTCCCTCCATCCCCACCCGCCGCCGAAGAAAAGCTCGAAGCGCAAAACAAAAATGAAAAGTGCGCCTTTTCCTTTTCGCTCTGGCTGACCCGCAAGGAAAGTCGTGAAAATTTTCAAAGCGTTATTTACACTTAAATAGTGAGTTATAAATAATAAATTATAGCTTTTTATAATCCTTGAGTGATTATAATCGCGTAGGTGTTGTAAGTTTTGTTTTTCTTGTAAGAAAAGTGTTGTTAAACTATATTTTTCTTAAGCTTGGAAAACGAGATGGAGACCAGGCCGAATTTTATGCAAAGTTTGATTGCTGAGGTGGATATTGATGATCGGGGTAAGTTTTATATTAATTAAATTTATTTATAAATTTTTTGTGTTTAGAATCATGCATTTTTATATATTGCACGAAGATTATGATGATTTATAAATGGTTTTCATGAATTTTCTTTTAACATTTTTTGTCCATTGCACAAACGCCATTTTGATTTTCAGTTGTAAAATCCATTTTGTTGTATTTCATTTAGTGAAATGTTATAAACATTTGTTTATTGTATAAATATATATTGAATATCATTTTTTGTGTTTCTGAAGTAATTTTTAATAATTAAAAGATGTTGTACAATTGAAGGAAAGGAAGAAATTTCCATTGAAGTGTTTGCACAATTTTATCAGCAGAATATTATTAATAAAATATATAGTGTTATTAAAAATAAACAATTGAACAATATTGTATAAAATAAACAATAAAATATATTTTTTCATGTTTTTTGGAATAACTAAAATGAGTTTTAGTAATAATAAAGAATTTTTCTTCATCGTACAAGAGTCGTACAAAATTTGAATTTTGTTGTACCTATTATTAATAGTAAATTTAATACAGTGATAATAAAAATAAAGATTTAAACTATATTGTAGGACATTTTTCTAATTTTTTGGAATATTTAAACTAAGTATTACTATTAGTACGGAAATTTTCTTTATCGTAAATGAGTCTCAAACAAATTTTGATTTTTGTTGTACATATTATTAATGGTAAATATATAATACAGTGATAATAAAAATAAAGATTTAAATTATATTGTAGGACATTTTTCTCATTTTTTAGAATATTTAAACAAAGTATTACTATTAGTACAGAAATTTTCTTTATCGTAAATGAGTCTCTTACAAATTTTGATTTTTTGTTGTACTTATTACTAATAGTAAATTTAACACAGTGATGATAAAAATAATGATGTAAATTATATTGTAGGATATTTTTCTTATTTTTTAGAATATTTAAACTGAATATTACTATGAGTACAGAAATTTTCTTCATCGTAAATGAATCTCGTTCTAGTTTTTCTTTTGTTGTATCTATTATTAATTAATATTATACAGTGATTATAAGAAAAAAGATTTAAATTATATTGTAGAATATTTTTCTTATTTCTTAGAATACTTAAACCGAGTTTCACTATTAAAAAATTTTTTTTTTTCATCAAAAATGAGCCTCGCACAAATTTTTCTTTTATTGTACCTATTATTAATAGTAAATATTATGTAGTGATAATAAAAATAAAGAGTCAAGTTTTATTATATTATTACTTATCATTTTTTGCATTTCTTAAAATAAATAAAACGAATTTTAAAATTGATATAAAAATTTGGATTGAGAATGAAATTTATTCATTGGATTGAGTATTTGTTAAATTTTTGCTATTGGGAAGATAATAATAATTATAAATATATTTATAGTGATAATAAATTTAAACAAATAAATCACTTTATATAAAATATATGATAAATTATAATGCTCATTGTTTTTCTTATTTCTTATAATAATTAAAACCGTGTTTCTAATGAAATTTCTTTATCAAATGTATGTACAAAATTTTGTCAGCATCAGAATATTATTTAATATATATTAATAACACAAATAAACAGTAAGATTTTATAAACTAATTAAATTACTTTAATTTTAAATTATATAAAGGAATGATTAAAATGGCTTTTAAAGCTGATACATAAACTTACTTCATCGTAAATGAGTTTTGTGCAAATTTTATTGCCATCAAATTAATAATATATATATATATATATATATATATCCATCTAATAACAAAAAAAAAATGAAAAGAATGTATTTATTAAAATAGCTTATGTTTCAAGTCACGGTTTGACTCATCTTAAGGTTCGATAAATAATATATATTTATTTACACAAAATAGAAAGATGCTATATAATATGTTTTTTTCAATGATTTTAGCATATAAATTTATGCCATTTTCAGTGTTGTTCAATATTTCATTTTTCTCATTCGGTTGGAATTAAGTTAATGTGATTTATTTCATTCACTAAATCTTTGCCTTTCTTTAAAATTTTTGAATCACTTTTGTTGATAGGATGTTAATTTTTAAATTCTATATGATTTCTTTTTTCTCGGATAAGTATTCAGGAATTTTTATTTTATTGATATAATCATAATTAATATAATCCTAAAGTTTTCCTTGGATGATCCTTCTTGAAATATAGAACTATTCGTAACATCATATTCATCGTTTATTTGAGTTAGTAAGCTTTGATTTCGTTGTGCAAATTATACATATGATACAAATTAATTTATTATGTTTGATCCAATAAATAAATGAATCCTTAATAATTTGTTACTTGATGAGACATCTGTTCGGTTTTCCTAAAACGAAAAAAATAAATATAAAAAGTAACAAATATGTATAATATAAAATAATAATGCTAATAAATAGTAATCTGTTTGAAGACAGGTAAATGGTGTGAGAGCAGCACCATCAAATCAATAATTACCTTTCCCATTAATAATTATTTATTATTCCCATTATCTTCAATCACTTTTATGCATTTTCCTTTCCAAACATACTGTTTACAAGCTCTCTGGTCTTATTCTTTGACTTAGTCGTAGAAAGTCATCAATCATCTACATTTTTCTTCCCAATCCTTTAAATCCTTTTATTTTACCTTTGGCTATATCGTGTAGGAAGCACTCTTTCTGCAGACTGAGTCTGATCCATTTTCCTTTTCTTTTCAGGATCATGTTCAATAAAGTTCTTTTTTTGCACACTCTTCTCAGGGCTCCTTCATTTGTAGCCTTAATATATAAATAACAAATAATATAAATAACAAATAACAATTTTGTTATAAAAATTTGTTAAGAAATATTTTGGATAAGATATTTAGAACTAATAAAAAAATCATAAAAACAACACCTATGGGAATTTTTTTCTTAAGAGCAGTTGATTTAACTTCCTGATTCTAGAGATTAGGACGGTGTATTTCTTAAGAAAGTGATCCAATATTCCAAACTTAATAATTAATATTTTTTTTATAATTAAACCACTTTTCGTAGACCTATAATATTTATTATAAAATGTTCGTTGAGCTCATGAACTCTTTTATGGGTAAAAAGTGTTATTAATATAGTAAAAATAAGGAAAGTTATTGGCATTGTCTGAAGAATTTATACTTTTTTGCAATTTTTGTGTCAAGCGATACAGAATGACTTGAAATGTCGAGAAGACATAAAATTAGCAAATCACTAAAAGTGATAATGACAAAAACTTCTTCAGAAAGTTGAAATTCATAGGAAATTGAATTTTAGATAATAGTTCATGTTATAATAATTAAACTAATAAATGTATTTATCTTCAAACAAATCAAAATTTGATTGTAAGTATAAAACTGAAATGTTAAATTAACTAATAAATTTATAATAAACAAGCTGTACCCGTTCACGCTTTGTCGTGATTTAGTTTAAATTAAAAAGTAGAACAAAGATGTGTATTTGTTACATTTAGTTTAACGTTATTACTATCTGTTCAACAAGTTACCTATTTAACAATTTGTCTACGAATTTACTTATCAACTTGTTAATCAATCTACCATTTTACCGGTTTACCAATTTACTTGTCAACCAATTTACCTATCGACCTGTTTATCAATACACCATTTACCTGTCAACCAATTTACCTGTTTAACAATTTGTCTACTAATTTGCCTATCAACCTGTTCAATCTACCATTTTACCGTCCTACAAATTTACCTGTCATTCCGTTCTACATGTTTTCCAATTAATTTGTCAACCTGTTTATTTGTCTATATATTCGTCTATCTATCAGTTCTCTTCTCTACGATTCTACATATTCTCCAATTTACATGCCCACCAGTTTACCTTTATAAATTCTCTAATTCACCTTATTTAGTTACGCATTATAAAAAAATTTAAGCTCAAATTGATTCTACGTTTTAGTTAGAAAACGTTTGTATGTGAAAAAGAAAAGGGCTGTTGTTAGGGTTTTCC